GCTCTTCTGCATCTAGGAGGAGACCCTGCCCCTGCCTGGCACTAGTTGGTTGAGAGGTGGGGCAGGACATGTCTTTCTCAGCAGCCACGGCGGGAGGGGAGGTGCTGGGCGGTATACCCCAACTGCCAGAGACGCCGCAGCTCAGCAGCCTGCAGGCCGAGGACCAATGCCGGTCCATGAACAGGCGGTTGGGAACTGCTGTAGTATTTCATCTTACTTCCTCTTCTGTCTCTAAAAAGCCTTTCTCTGGTGAAGAGATGCTGAAGCATTTCTCATATGCCTTATCACCAGCCTTCCTTCAATAGCCAGAGGCAGTTTCTGGAGATTAATGTCTGGCTCTTCTGATTTCAAGGGCAGAATATGCTGCCTTCCCAGAGATTCCAGGCCGTAAATCAAAAGATAGAATGATGGAGTTTGGGACTCAGTATGTTACAATCTCACTGTAAACACCTGAGTGGTAAAAATTTATTTTTCAAAGCTTAACAGATAAATGTGTATTATAATTTGTAAATAGATTACATCGTTTCAGCTGAGGTTTACTGAATTGTTATATCTGTGGAGAGGGAACTGATCAAGAGAATACTTTGCACTGATACATTCATTTTTATTTGAGATCTTAAATTACTTTACAAAGATTAACCCTCCAAGCACAAAATAGGTTAGAATCAGACCATTTTTGCATTTGAGTAAATGGAGGACGAGAAAGTTAAATGGTTTGGCAAAGGTGTTGCTGTGACAGATCTATTAATTGAATCCACAGAAAAAGTCATGATTGAACTTTAATTGGTGAAGAATTGTGGCACTGGACAGAAATCTAATGATTTCTCTTCATCTTCTGTCCGAATCCAGGCCAGTAGATCACATGTACTCCGCTTAGGTACTGAGTGATTCATTGTGCTGTTAGCTCTGTTTTGTACAAGCTTCAGTTTTGATACCCCTGCCCCTAATTCTCAAAAAGAAAATCTTGCTTGAGTAGTGTTTGCTTCACTATAGGTGGCTGTGCATCCTTGTGCCTCTGACTGGAGAATTTTGGTGTCAGAGTCCATTCAGCCAGTGCATGCATTGCACCCTTCCATGACGCTAACCAACACTGTGTGAGCAAACCCAACTCGAGTCCTTCTCAATAACTCAGAGATGGAAATTTAGCTGTCTGTTAGCGGATCATTATCTTCAGAATTGTTGATTTTAGCTACCTTTTTTGGAGCATCTTTTTTTCTTTTTTGAAACTTTATTATTTAAAAAATCTTTTATTTTATGCATCATTTTTCTTCCACGTTTTCCCTCCCCCAGTTTGGGAAACATCCTGGTCAGGGTACATCTGGTATACCTGACTTCAAGAAGTGTCTTAGTTGCAAGGAGAATATCCTGGTGACTGATGGACACTTTTAGTGGAACTGTTGCGTAGTTCTCATAGGAGAGAACTCCATACTACAGAAGCCTGGTTTATGCCAACAACTGAAGCCCAGATACAGAAAGAATAGAGAACTGAAATGCAAGGTTCTCCTAATGGAGGTGGCCCTTCAGCCATCCTTTCAGTCATGGCAAGACCTGGAAAATGGGAAACCTCCATGCAACACTCTTCTAAGGGAGTTGAACCCAAGAAAACAGCATGTGTCACTCATGCAAGACCTCTAAGAAAAGGCCCCCACAGTGAGCCAAGACCTACTTGAAAATGATCTCTGGTTTGCTCGGTCTCATCAGTGCTGACGGCATTGCAGGTCTCTAAGTCCAGTACCCAAGGCTTGCATGGTAGCTCCCCAGCAGAACATGCTGGGCTGCCTCAGGGCCGACTGGGTCCAGGCAAGGAATCATCGATACTGACAGAGCATGAAAAATAAAAAAAAATCTGTTCTGGGAAAGGCTCCATTGGCATGGATATTCACATCAGTGCCATATTCGTCATGCTGGCCATCAGCAGGCCATACTGTTAGGTCTACATCACTGATCCTTTCAGTGCAGACATCTCAGCACTAATTGCTTCCACCTGTACCAATGCCTTGGGCACTCATGTACTTTCAGTACCCAGCAGACCTTTTGATTCACCTTTATGCAGTATCCTGGCCTCAAGTTCACCTGGAGATGCAGACTTTCTGGGAACATCATGTTATACTCTTTCACCTTTGTTTTCCAATGAGTCACTGAGTCTGATAGTAAGGAAGAAGACATGTTTTCCTGCAACTCCTCTCATCCACCCTGTGATGTGCAAATCCAGCATGGGCCTCAGCCATACCATCCCTTTGATCACAAGCCTCCCTCATATGGATAGCCCCTCCCCACCCTCTCACTGGTCCTATTGTGACTGTTGGCAGGCACTCAAACATCGTGCCTCCCATGGTTCTATCATGGCCCATCAAGAGCCAAGGAGTCATCCTCCTTCTGTTTCTGCATGGAGGACATTGTAGCCCCCTGAATAATTCAGAGAAGAACGGGAGGCAAAAGTCAAGGAGGAAGATGCCCCCCCCAGACTAATTTCTCATTGTCATCACCAGATCAGACATGGATGCCCCCTCTACCATCATTGACAGATGACTTTAAGCTGTTCTAGGAGTTGGCCCAGCGGGTGGCAGAGGGACTGCAGACAGCACTACAGGAGATGACTGGGTCATACCACAAACTAGTGGACATTTTACATTGTTCTGTCTTGTTCAGAGTGGTGTCCCTATTAATGAAGCCTTTTTGAACCTTGCCAAGCTCCTATGGCAGACCACAGCATCTGTTGCACCAATATGTAAGTGGGCCAATAAAAAGCATCACGTGTCAGCAAAAGACACAGAATTTCTCTCATCCATCTCCCAATTTTGCCATAGCAAAGCCTCCTCCCCGGGAGCCAGGATGGTAAGGGCTGGTGGCTCTACTTCTGGGAAGGCTTCATTGCAGGCTCTGTAGTATAAAGCTAAAAGCCCACAGTACAGGTAATCGTGTAACTACTGAGATTTTCAGTGGTTACTCTGGTACCCTGTTTCACAATTTTTAATATTCCTAGTGTGGACACAAATCTTTATGGAAATGCTAGATTAAGGCATCCAGGTCATAAGAAAAAGATCTATCATGCATATCTGAGCAGTTTAATGAGTTGCAGTCCAAAAAATGATGTTGTGTTGCTGTGTTTTGATTTTTAGTTAAAGTTCTTTCCTTTTAGCTAAGACAGTGTTTCCCAATTTTATTTGGCCACGGAACCCTTTTAAACTCGAAAGAATTTTGCGGAACCACTAATAACAGCCATATATATGGAGTTGAAAAAGTAGACCACAAATAAGTAAGGATAATAATATACATATGCTAAACCAAGGTCATGAGATCAGCATTTAGTTTAATTGCACATATTTAAAAACAAAAATCACATTTAAGGTGTACAAAAAATAAAGCTAAAAAACGAATATGCATTAAATATTTATTTATTTTTAACCATAAAATGTTATTGTAATGGATTTTTTTTTTGGTGGAACCCTTATTTTCACTTTGTAGAACCCCGGGGTTCCATGGAAGCCTATTTGGGAAACACTGAGCTAGGAACGTCACCCAAACCACCATAGCTGCCAAATGTAAGCTATCTGAAGAGTACTGGTGAATACCTTCCAGAGAAAATGAAATAAAAGAGAGCTGCTGTCATGAAGACCCCAGGAAAGAGCTCCCTTTGAAACATCAAATGCCTGGGGCTGAGAGAATCATAACTAATAACTAAAGATGTTGCTGGAGCTGTAAAATCACTGAACCACGCAGAGTCCTCTATTTCTCATGCAGGAGGATTCCCACTGAATGGTGGCAGTATAATGCTGTCTTATTTTCACATCTTTTAATCTGGCATGCTTTGCTCAGAAGTTCACTCAGCAGTGTTTCCTCTTAGAAATTCTTCAGATATGCTGAAGATGAAGTTATTGAAAAATTCCCAGAAAAATGCACAAAAACTTGTGGCTTTGAAATCTGCTCTGTGTGCACTTGGGTAGTTAATTATGTATGGCTAGTCCACTAGGTTTTCCAGATCTTAACTTTTCTCTTATGTTACTATAAATTTAATCCAACAAATATGCTGTGTATAACAATAATATTTGCCAAATATACTTTAATGTAATTGAAATTATTTACTGATTGAAAATGGTGTGGTAGCATTTCTATTAAACCATGAAGTATTTCTCACAGAGGTGCTTGTATGTTTGAAGCAAATCAACATGCATTTGACTCTTTTAGGGTAAGTTTTTTTTTTTTTTTTTTGGTTTAAATAATTCGGACACTTTTGAAGTGATTTCTATTATTTGTAGTCAGTTTTGTCTGGTATTTAGTATCCCACAATCTCCAGAAAGTTCCTTTGATACATCACTAATGCTAGTTTCTTGCCAATATTTGCTCAGTTTTGTTGTTTGTGGTGCTGGAATGAGTGAATTTGACAGATGTGAACTTCCATTCAATCTGTACTAGAAAAGTCTCAGAATACTGTTTTAACTCTCTCAAAAATAGTCATCCTGATTTTCTTACTCATTAGGCAATACAATATTTTAAATTTAAAAAAAATCTTTAACAATGTATTTTTTTTTTTATAAATTTCAGTCGTACAAGATCATAAACTTTGCTCCCAGTCTACTACAGATCATAGTTTCGGATCAGGTTGAATTTCCAGTACGTCAAGCAGGTGAGCTAAATTCTTGTGTCATTTTCTTCCAGTTGTAAAGCGGTTAATAAGATATTAAAACAAAATGATAAGCTATTGTTATGCCATTAAAATATTCTCTATTTTGGCCTTTGAATTCAAATAGGTCAGTGAAGGAGTCTTAATGATTTGGTGATTCACTGTCCTGTGCGGGGGTGAAATCTGGTTATGGCATGCTTAAAAGCCAAACCATGTCTCTTACTTTCCTGTGTTTATGGTGGTCTCTCTTGTATTAGTTTGATTCCTCTGCCTTTCTAGGCAAAAGTTGGATATACAGGAGGGCATAAGGAGCTCAGATTTTTTTTCTCACAAGGAGAGGTGGAGGCTACATGAAGAGGGTATGTGGAGGGCAGGGGATCTTATCTGAATGAGTCTGTCATTGTTTTGAATTCATAGCTTAGTGAAATAGAAGTCCTTGTTAATGCAGACTGAGTACATGCTAGCTATAGATCCTTCCTCCAAAAACAAATCTCAAGAAAGATCACTTAGGCACGTTATGGGAATATAGCTAGCTAAATGCATCTTAAAGGGATTCCTTATATGCATGTGATATCGGGTGTGTGGTTAGGATTACCAGGTAGCTTCAGAAAAAATACCGGACACATTTGATTGCGGGGGGGAGGGAGGGAGGGTCCAGCCGGGAGGGGCAGGGGATGGGAAGCAGGGCTGGCGGGGGGGTGTGGACTGCGAGCCTGGCTGGGGGAGATCGGGAGGAGGAGAACTGGCCGGCGGGAAGCCGGGCTGGCCGAGGGGGTCGGGGCTCGCGGGGCTCGCTGGGAGGGGAGTGGGACTGACCCGGGCACAAGCAAATCCCAGGGCGCTGCCTGTCCCACGCACGGTCCTGGTGAAGCACGAGCAAGCACGCTACCGCTCCACAACGCACTTGAACAGTGCTCAGGAGCATGGACAGGGCAAGGATAGGCACATGTCTGGTATTCTCTGAATTTTTTTACCGGACAGAGGGCCCAAAAACTGGACTGTCCGGTTGAATACCGGACAGCTGGCATCCCAATGTGTGGTAGAGTTACTTTTAAGCACATGTCTAACTCTTTACAGGATCAGGACCTAAATTATTTGTTAATAGAACATATTAATTAATCCTGCACAGCATGTGGCTAAATGTGAAACTTCAATGAGTACAGCAAGCATTCCACTTTTCCAAGAATTTGATGAGCAGTTTTCATTCACAGCTCTCTTTCTATCACATGAAACAGAATTGTCCATAGAAAATGTGTGTGTATTGGGGGGAGGTGTGCAAAAATTCATTTGAAAGACCAGTAAATCCCCTGAGTGCATTGGGGCATGCTGATGTATGCTGTTCATCTTGCTGGCCTGTAAATTATCATAATGCCATTCACAGTTGCATTATCTGTTAGGATCATGCTGGCGTAAAGGGAGGCATTTAATTCAGGATCCATAAGGTGACGTCAGCAAAGTAGATTCTTATTTTAATTTTTCAGAACAAATAAATTCATGTGTAGATCATATTTCAGTATATTTTTAGGGAGAGGAAAGGGGAAGGCAGTACATTTTTACTAAATTGCTAAATCAACAGAATGCTGTAGTTACTGTAAGAGCAAGAATTTATTCAAAATCTCAATCCATGTAGAAAGCACATGTCCCGGTTTGACTTCACTGCATTACACTATTGTATTTGTTTTTCTGATCCTATTTTTATCTGAGTGCTCTGGGCTATCGGAATTACAGAATTTGATTAATACTTTTCGATCTGTCAAAATTGAGAAAAATATTCTATTCAAATGTGTCTGATTCATGCTTCAGTATGCTTTAAAATCCCAATCAGAAATTAACAAAAAGGAAAAAGGTGAAGGATTAGTATTCTAAAGGTTTATTAAGAACTTTCTGCTAATGTTATGTCTGAAAGAATATTTACAGGCATTATTTTAGAGTAAGCAATATTTTCAGTTTAAGGATTATCAGGATTACTGCATCTTAATGTGAGGTGATGGGGAACATCTCTGTGGAACTACGGAGAATTGTAATAAGAATTGGGGAAGTTGCAATGGGCCTTTTTTTGCTTGAATAAAAGGTATGCTACATGCCCATTTGATAACCAGGCATTTTTCCCATGTCGAATGTACTGATCATGAATACATCTATGATTTATTTTAAGTTAGTCTGCAAAACTCTACTGAGGGGAGTAAGTTACTTTGAAGTTGAAATATTATAATTTCCATTCAATATAATTGTAACATATGAGTAACTTTTAACTGGGTTGTTAAATTGTTGTGACAGTTTTGCAAAACGAGTTGTAATAAAGAATATCTGGTAAAGGCTGATTGAAATAATCCCATATTTTATTTAGGACCACACATTTGACCCTGATGTTTCTAGTGATGAACAGCTTGTGTTGGTAGACTTAAGATCTTTCATCTCCCATAACTATTAATGCTAAACTGTTCATTTGATCTTCTATTTAGCTGCGACACTCTTAGTACCATTCCCAGACCTGAAGAAGAGTTCTGGATAGTTTGAAAGCTTCCCTCTCTTGCCTGTGGATATTAGTCCAATAAAACAGCATTGTTTTATCCATTTTGTCTCTCCAATATTTGTTAAAAGACAGAGATTCAATAGTTCCTAGCCTTCTGCCCTATTTTATTGTTCAGCATCACTATGTCACCTTCAGTTGTAATCCACATTGCATTGTAGGAATAACGAACAGTCCTGTGGCACTTTAAGAGACTAATAAATGAATTAGTTCATGAGCTTTCGTGGTAAAACCCACATCATCAAATGACCTAATACATTTGTTAATCTGTAGGGTACCACAGGACTGCTTGTTGTTTTTACAGTTATAAACTAACATGGGTACCCTTCTGAGACTTATTGCATAGTAGGGACTTTACAGAGCTGAATTTAAGCAATCCTTTCCATGATGCTATGTTAGGATTTTTTCTGTAATTTAGCTGCCATTTACCTGAAGAACATGGTGACACAGTACTGGCCGGATCGGGAACCACCACCAGGAGAAGCAGTGTTTCCATTCAACATTCATGAAAATGATCGCCAGCAGATTCGTGATAACATTGTGGAAGGAATTATTCGGTCTCCTGACTTAGTGAGGTACATTATACTGTGCATAAACACTCAAAACTCTTTAATCCGGCAACTCTGGGAAACAGGTTTTGCTGGGCCAGGGAGAGAGTGAGGAGGATGGGATGGGGTGCTTACCTGGTGCTCCCAGGCACTGCCCCCTACCACTATGGGAGTGGCAGGGAAAAGACTCTGGCAGAGCATGTGGCTGCACTGCTGTTCTCCCAGCTGGGGCAGGAGAGGAGCAGCAGCAGCACATAGAATTGCTTCTGCTTCTGCTTGCCAGGGTCCATACCATGGGTGTTCCCACATTAGGGACACCTGGAGTACAAAAGTTATAGTATATTAACTAAGGGCCTGACTAAGGGCTCAGCCCCTGCAACTCCTTTTTTTGTCTCACTAGATTGAACTGTGAGCAACTGTCTTCTGCTCACAATAAGAGATTTACAACAACACATAGAGGCTACGTCTACACTGGCCCCTTTTCCGCAAGGGACATGCTAATTTTCCAGGTCGTAATAGGGAAATCCGCGGGGGATTTAAATATCCCCCGCGGCATTTAAATAAAAATGTCCGCCGCTTTTTTCCGGCTTTTAGAAAAGCCGGAAAAACTGTTCTGATACATGGACTTAAACTGCATGGCTACGCCTACTTCAAAGTAGGAATAAGAAATCCTCTGGAAAAGGGCGCTTTTTCCGGAGGATCGGGGCCAGTGTAGACGCTCTTTTCCGGCTTTTCTAAAAGCCGGAAAAAAGCGGCGGACATTTTTATTTAAATGCCGCGGGGGATATTTAAATCCCCCGCGGATTTCCCTATTACGACCTGGAAAATTAGCATGTCCCTTGCGGAAAAGGGGCCAGTGTAGACGTAGCCAGAAAGTTTAAAGCAACTCCTAAAACTTGCTTTAGTTGTTCTCTATTTATTTTACTAATTCAAAGGAGATTGGTGCATGGGCCTGTCTTGGTAGTTATTTCTGTCAGCCACTGACCCTCAACTCCAGATAAGTACCATTCTCATCATAGCCTGAAAATGATTGATTGGTTTGTTTGTGTGTTTTTGCAAAGTCCGTTACTCAGCTGCTTTCATTACTTTTATACACGTTGGAAGAACTTATTTCAAATAATGTTTTCAGTACCAATGTTTTACAAGCCCTAGGAAAGCAAAGATATGCTTCTCTACATATCTCCACACTGTCTTTGAGGACACTGGTATAATTCACAGGTTTATTACCAGCTAGGACTGTTCATTGGTCTAAGTAAAATGAGTTTGAGAGTATGCGTCAGGATTCTAGTGGACCAGTATCCCCATTTAAAAAAAAAACAAGAATAAACCTTTTCCTTCACAAATGCCAACAGGTGCCTTCCTTGTTGGTAATCTCACTGGAAAGGTACTCCTGTGCACAATATTTTAACGTTCTGCATATTTTATTTGTCAAAACAACAATATAATCATGCCAGTTGAATTTATTTTGGTCATTTATTTCAAAATACCTGCCAGCAAGTAACAATGCAGAGAGCAAAAAAAGATTCAGGGAATGTTTCTTGATGAATAGATTCCTTACTAGCCATATTAATACAGAACTTAAAGTAATAATTAATTTATACTACAATATAGAAACTTATTTCCTGAACTTCTCACAAGCAGTGCAAAGGTTTGGGAGAGTCAGGGGTAATGAAGAGCCGAGGGAGATGGAAGTAATTACTGGGAGCCTGAGAGTAAACCTGGAGGATTGTTGAGTATGTATGGTAGTTGGTGTTTTGGGGGGAGGAGAGGGATTGTTAGGAAGTTAAGAAGTCTCCCCACTGCAGACCTGACTGCCCCCTAACCTCTCCCATTCATTCATGCACATCTGCCCCATTCCCATCTTTCCCTGTGTCCTACTCCCCTTGTCCCTATGTGTCCCGAAACCTTATTCCTGTTCAGCCCTTGGCTCTATACTGTTACCCAATAGCTTGTGTACCCATTCCCACTCTCCCCACCACTAACCCTTCTGAATCCCAGTCTGTGACCTCCCAGCATCCATATGTGCCCTGCTCTGTTGACCCCTCCATGTACTCTTCATCCTTAGCTGGCCCCATAGGCATGTCACTGTAAGGAAAAGCAGCCTTTGTGCCCTCCCTCTCATGGGCTTGGTCCTCCAGCTGGTGAACCAGCTACTCTCTCTTCTAATGCCAAGGTATCTCCTGTGGGTAACTGCAGCACCTTTCCAGCAGAATGTATTATTCTGTAAAGAAAAAAAATCTGCAGGGGACATGAATTCTTTGTGTGTGCAGTAGCACAGAATTCCCCGGGGATACGAAAGATAAAGGATGGCCACAATAAAGATAATGATAAAGATAATGGTCAGAATAATTGAATAGTATCACAGCCATTTCAAGTCTCAGGCCTGAATTGTAAGACTTTCACATTTGATCCCTATCTTTTTAAATCACATTTACTTCTGAAATCTCAAGCTTGGGACTGGAAGCAAGAGCCCATTTATTGAGTAACAAAGCTACTCAAATATGGCCTTTCCACCTCTCTATTGTGCTAGCAGGGATGGGTTTCCATCATTACAACACCCAGCGCTCTGGTTATCCCTCTTGATGGAGTATGCCCTGCCTCCATCCACTGCTGGGTGGGCCTGGCCAGAACCTCATTGTCTCTCAGTTCCTGAACAGTCTGTCAATGGGAGAGGCTGTAACAAGAATTGTGTGGGATGGGGTAGAGTCAGAGCCCGTGTTGGTGGGGCAGCAGAGTATAGTGAAATGGTATGAAGCAGCAGCTATACTAAAGGACTGCATCCATAAGGAACCCAATTTAATGATTAAAAAGAACTTTATCTGGGCTTGTAGCCCTCCTGTGTTTCTGTAATATTTATTAGTATTCCAAAAGGCCAGGTTTACACTGGTGGTGAAAATGGATGCAAAATACTCAACTCCAGCTATGTGAATTGTGTAGCTGGAGTTGATGTACCTTGCATCAATTTTCTAGGGTGGCCCCACTGTAGGAGGTCACCTAGAGAAATGCTCCTATCAAGTTGTCTTGGTCCTCACATCAGCTAGGAGTACTTGTGCCGATGGGGGCACCCTCAGTATTGGATTTAGAAGGTCTTCACTAGACCTACTAAATCGAACCCCAGAGGATCAACCACCAGAGCGTTGATCCTCTGGCAAGGGGATATGTGGCTAAAATCACATGCATTACAGCTTTTCCAACTTGAGATCTCTGGTGCTGGTGACTTGAATCTCTATTGAAAGCAGTAGTTTCTCCAGCTCAAGTTTATAGTATGGTATAGGTAAGCTTGCCTTGCTGTCACCTGTACTGTTGTTATTTAATAATCGATAAATAGAATCCTACCATGTGCTCACACATTGTTGCAGAACCTTGGTCAGCGCTCAGTTTATCTGAAAAGCACAAAAAAGACGTTTAATAGGCTTTGCCATGTAGTTTTAATTGGTGAAATGTGCAAAATATTTTGATGTTGACCAAAACAGTCATGTCTGAAAACCAGTTGTTTAAAAGTCTATAGGAAAAAGGGTATAAATAAGCAAGGTCCTACAAACTTTATTGTATGGAGAGTAAAGCTATGGAGGTTGCCACCTTCAGCTTGCCAGAGCAATGATAGGAGGGTGCAGGTGCAGAAAGTTGGCAGTGTGAAGCACAGATGGCAAAGGGATGAGAGGGACGAGAAACGGATGCAAAGCTAAAATGGTTAGAAGAATGAGAGCTACTTGCTGGTTAATGACATCCCTCCACTGAAATGCCTGTATAGAGAATTGCAAAGAGGATTTTCTATAGTAGCATATTAGACAGGGATGTATAGGGATGTGAATGAGTAGACAACTAGTTAGTTAACCAATAAGCCTGGCCTTACAGATGGCCCCCGACTTGTGACGCGATCGGTTCCTGGGGAAGCATCGCAAGTCGGGGGTGTCATAACTTGAACCCTAATTTACGATAGGCATCGTCTGCCATTTTAAATGGGGGCTGAGGACATAAGTCTGGGGTTTTCAGCCCCTTTCACACTTTAAAAAAAATGGTTGGAAGTGCAGAGAGTAGCAACTTGGGCAGTTGCAACTCAAGGGTTTCCTGTATTGGTTAATCTGGTCAACTACTCGCATTTCCCCACCCCCTTGCTGCCTGTGTTACAGGGCAGCTGGTTTTTAAACTGACTCCCCTTGCAGACCTGCTCCCACCTGGCACCCCGCGTTGCTGCCTCTGTATCTGCGTGCCTCCCCTGCCACCGAGGACTATAGAAGAGTCGACTAACCGCTAAGAATTTGTGTGGTTAGTCAACTATTCTATTACCCATGATCTAACATCCCTAATGTTAGACAAAGAGAAAATATTCTGCAGACTCTTCATTCCTTGTCAGAGTCAGGAGCATTGATCAAGGGAGATCATAATTTGGTGAGGAAACTTCAAGATGCATCGCACACAAGACACTTTTGTGTTATAACATTTGCATGCTTACATTCTTTTGTTGCTGCATTTCACTTCCTGGGCACTTAAAAAGACTCCTAGAGATTAATTTTCAAGGAGTAATGCTAGTAGGTTTCAGAAAGAAATTGTGTGTATGCAACACTTGATGTGTGTGGAAAGTGAAGAGGATGGGAGATAAAGCAACTAAAAAGCCTGAATTTGGATGAAGAATGAGTTCCCTTAACACTAACTTCAAACTTTTTTGTTCTTCCTGTCTCATTTTCTGGCTCTCTCCTCTCAAGCTCTTCCAGTGTTCTTAAAGTATGTAGCCATTAAATAATCAGAGTTCAGGATCAGGCCTTTAATATAAACTATGTGCTGTTAACATTTATTGTCTTATAACATACTGCTTTTATCTCCTCTTTTAGGGCCCAGTTGACAATGTGTCTTCGTGCTATCATTAAGCATGACTTTCCTGGCCATTGGACAGCAGTAATAGACAAGATAGGCTATTACTTGCAGTCTCAGAACAGTGGGAGCTGGCTTGGCAGCCTGTTGTGTTTGTATCAGCTGGTGAAAACTTATGAGTAAGTGGATTTCCATCAGTAAAATATAAATCAGTGTTATCTCAGCTGATTTCTCCATTTGGAAAAAAAGAGCTCAAAGAGTGTTGACAATTCTTTAGGGAATTCAGACAAAGGATGGGAATTTCTGATTGCCAGATGTTTGCTTTCTTGCATGTAAATGAGAACTATTTATCATGTCTATATTGACAACAGTTTGAAGCATCAGAGAGTCTTAGGCTATGTCTGTGCTGCAGAGAAGAGCCCACAGTGACGAATCTCAGAGCCTGGGTAAAATAGCAGGGTAAATTTTCATGCCGGGGCTGGAGTCCAGTCTCTAAAACCCAGTGGAGAAGGCAAGATGGCTCGGAGCCTAGGCTCAACGAGAATGATAATGTTTACATTGCTACTTTTAGTCCCTAGAACCTGAATCAATTGTTCCAGGCTCTGAAACTTGGCCCCCGTGGGTTTTTCTTTGAACTGTCGACATACCCTTAGTGATTTTTTTTCTTTCTTATCTAACTCTTTTTTTTGTTCAAGTTTCTTCCTTGGGTGTTTTACTTGAATAGAACTATTTGTGAATAACTATCATAAATGTATGCAAAACTTTGTTCTAAGGACCCCAAAATGTTTTATGTAGCACACGCAAGCATCATGATATTTATGTTTTGGTAGTGCCCACAATGTTTGTAGTGCCAAAAACAGGAAAACAAAGGCTTGGTCTGCACTACTGTGGTAAATCAATCTAATTTACACAATTTCAGTTATATGAATAATGGAGCTGAAGTCAATATTGTTAGATCCACTTACTGTGGGAGTTACACCGTGCTGTGTTGGTGGGAGTAGGGATGTAATAGTGTAGTCGATTAACTGATAAGCAAAAGCTTATAAATTAATCCATAGACTACATGCATTTATTCCCCCTCCCCCGTAAGTTTTTTAGCAGGCTGGCCAGCAGTCCTGCTCAGTCTTGGCTCACGCTGGGTTCAGGACTTATCCCCGCTGCGGCTCTGCATTTAAAGTGTGTTAAGACCTGGGTGGGCAGGTAGCTCGGCACAGTTCCAGCTCACACCGGGTCCAGGAGCTCAGACCCCCCACCCACCCTAGAAAGGGGCTGCTGTCTCTTTATCAGACGCAACAGCACAGGGTGACAGGTAGCCAATCTTCGGGAGGAGCTGGTTTTTAAACTGGCTTCCCTCGCGGACCAGCTCCCGCCTGCCACCCCATGCTGCTGCCTCTGATACAGAGGCAGCAGCACAATGTGGCAGGGGGCTCCTTGGGAGTAAAGCTGGAGTGCACTGGCTTCTGGGCCTGCCCCTGGGGACTATAAAATAGTCGACTAAAGTATAAGAATTCATGAGGTTACTCCACTATTCAATTAACCAATATTTAACATCCCTAGGTGGGAGAGTGCTTCACTTGAACTTTCCTTACGCTTCTTGGGCAGGTGGAGTACACAAATTGATGGGAGAATGCTCTCCCATTGATTTAACATGTCTTCAACTAACCCGTGGCTAAAATGACACTCAGTGCATTGATTGCAGCAATGCTGATCTACCAGGAAGTGAAGACATACCCATAGTCTCTACCCCCAACATGTGTCTGATCTAATTAGACAAGTGACATAGAAAGAGCAAGGGAGAGGGTGTCTCTCAAATACATACATTTGAAAATGTAAGTAAACACCAACTCTCTCTACTGTTGTCACTGAAATGTAGCCTACTTGGGTCAGAAATTGTAGCCAGGTGGCTAATCAACACACAACAGTGTGGTGTTGGGGAGAATGAAACTTTGAGTCACTACCATAATCTATATACAAACAGGAAATGCCATGGGATGTTTGGGGTCAGTCAGAATTTACCTGACACACTGAATTGCAAAGTACAGTAAATACATCTTGTTTCAGAAAGCAGGGTCTGAAACACCACTTCTTTTGGATAACTCATTGATTTGTAGGACTTGTCTTTATGGAAGTGTGTGTGTTGGGGGGGGGGAAAGAAGTGGAATTATTAAAAGAATCTGGGAATAATATTGATATACATTATATCCAGTGCCTAACAATCTGTCAGCATGTGGATCTATGCCAAGATAAAGTCTTGGAATATTTTGTCCTCATTTCTTATGGAGGGTCTGTGGTTGACCTGTGCTTTTTCATGTGGAGGAGTTTCTTGCAGTAGAAACACCTTTGTCCAAGCTAGCTTGTCCTGTCTTGTTTCTAAAAGAGCTGGATTGTGTAAAATGGGAGAATTGGGGGAGGAGCTGTCCCTAGGCATACGCAAAATACTTGGCTACATAGGGCACTGAAAGAGTGCCCCGGTGCAGCTGTGGTGGTGTATGTCTGAGGAGAGCACTGAGCAGCTCTGCTGGTTCCTCTCCAGCCTCTCCCTGCAGCTACTGCAGGGCTTCTCCCTACTCTTTCTTGGCCAGCAGCAGCCAGCTAGTGAGAGTTCCCTGCTGCCAAACTGGGAGCAGAGAGGAGTCCCCAACGTCTGTAACTCCACTCTGGCCCCAGGGAAGCCCTTGGCTTCTGGTAATCTGCGGAGTGGGGGTGAGCCCCAGGCCCCTAGCAGAAGCCATGTGCGGGAAAGGGAGGGAAATCCCAGGTCCTCCAGTAGGAGCCGAGTGGTGGCCAGGGAAGGAAGCACCAGATCCCTGGCAGGAGCCATGTAGTAATGGGAAGGAAGTACCTGGATCCCAGGAGAAACTGCGGTGTGGGGGACGGGAGGCTAAGTTGCATAGGGATCAATAATTTTTAAGGATGGCCCTGGGAATAGTTTTGGATTGTAAGGTTACTCAATTCACCTGTCAGCCATGAGGTTTAATGAGCAATAATCGCCTTGCTCAGTATGAAATCCACGTGGACTTAAAAAGTATTGAAATATAAAGTTAAGTGTAAAACTAAAGCTATAATCCGTTTTCCTTAGGATCCAACTTTTGTAACTGTATTTTAGACACTAGCTGTGTAAGCCACAGAGATAGCAGTTTGCACAGATGCACCATAACATCTAGAATCTCTCAAGAGTTGATGCCTCTTGACAATGCTTGACCACTGCCAAGAACGGAGGTGTGATTGATTCTTGACCATTTTCCAAAATGTGGAAGCCCACACTGGAGGCTAAAGTACTTTGTTTTTGTAAAGGAATAAAGCAAGTTAATGGCCCAGAGTTATTGTAATGCCTTTGTAGACATTTGGAGGAGCAGCTATAATTTATTGGATAACAGGATACAACTTATCTTCAAGTTGTGCTTCCAAGGAAAATGCTGGTTTGTGAATATGGTGCCTCCTTTGTAGTACTGTATACTGTATGTACTCTGGGACCAATTGTCAGGGGTGCCAAACGCTCTTTGCTTCCTCTGACATCAGCTGGAGCCTCAAGCGTGTGGCATCACTGAAAATTAGTTCCACTATTTATCAAATTAATTGACCAGTTATTTATATTTATAAAACCAGACATACATTTTTTAAAAGATCCCAAAAGCCTAGCCAACCAAAAGAGCTTTTCCTACCCCCTGAAGGCTATTTACTTACTTATTGAGTACCAGCAGTGAGCTTGGTACTACATGAGCATGTAATAAGTCATAGTCCCTGCTCCAAGAAGCTTACAGTCTAGTTGCAAGGAAATATTTATTATTTGTATTTCTAATGCACCTAGGGGCCCTACTCATAAACCAGGACACCATTATGTTAGTTGCTGCACAAATACAGAACACAGGGGAGGTTACTGCCCCAAAGAGCATGCAGTCCAAACAAGATTAGTACTGCCCATAGTATCATTTGACATTTTTATGTTTGCTGATAGAAAGGTTTGCATGCATTGTGTGGGCTGTCAGATGGAGGCCGCAGGAAAGGAGAAACGAATGAACACTGCACTCATGAGTGTCAGGGCATTTTTTTAAAGAAGATGAATCACTGGAGAAGGAATGGGCTTTAGAACTGGGAATACTCAGATCCTTGATGTCTATATTTGTCCTTGTTTGCAGATATAAGAAAGCAGAAGAGCGAGATCCTCTCATAGCAGCAATGCAAATATTCTTGCCTCGGATTCAGCAACAGATGATCCAGCTTCTTCCTGATAACTCCCACTATTCTGTACTGCTTCAGAAACAGATTTTAAAAATCTTCTATGCACTAGTGCAGGTAGGCATCTGTGCACAGAGAGCAATTTGAAATTGTAGATTGCTGGGGACAACAACCCACTTACACATGTATCCCCCTTTCTAAATGCCGGTTGGATAAGGTACTGCTGATTCTGTTCATGTATATAATTAATCAACTAGCTCTTTAGAACAGTAAAACGTGTTGCACTTATCCAAAAATGCTATTCCTCCATGTTCAGAGAGTTCCAAAAAGCCTTAGCACATACAGGCATTGTAATGTGCCCTAAAGTTAATAGAGTCAAGCCATTGTGTACTAAGAGGAAGGAGCAAATCACAGAGCTTGTCTAGACAGTTAGTGCATGGCAGACTGGAGTGCAAATCTACCTTGCACCAGACTGTCACATGTTAACTGGCTATATCAGTGGTGGGCAATAACCAGCCTTTGAGCCAGACAGATTCAGTTTGCCAGGATTAGCCCCTGGTGTGCTGCTGCTGCTTTATTTACCTGCGTTTCCACAGGTATGGGTGCTTGCAGTTCCCGTTGGCTTCAGTTTGCTGTTCCTAGGCAATGGGAGCTGCGGGAGGCCATGTCCTTGTCCGCGCTGCTTTCCGCAGCTCTTATTGGCCAGGTATGGTGATCCAAGGCCAACATGTGCTGCAAGTGGCCATAGCTGCAGAGCAGCTCCTCATTTGATCTGTAATAAGTTCATCTTGAGTGGTTTTGCCAATTAATAAAGCTATTTTTGAACCTAACAAGTCCCTGTGGCAAACCCTCATCAGCATTGCCTCCCACATGAAAGCATGTGGAGTGTTATATGCCCTCCCAGGGGGTTTTGCAGTCACTAATGAGAGGGATTGCCAGACTCCTCAAGTTGCTACCCCTGTATTCAGAGAAGCTGGATTTATTTGGTAGAAAACTATATTTGCCTGAGGGTGAGGGGAAAGTTGCATCTTAGAATTGCCAACCAACAGGTTCTGGTGGGGTGTTTTGATTTTAGCTTATTGCATGGAAACTGGCTAAACGTGGCCAGTTATTGTTTGGCAGGCTAGCAAGAGGTAGAGCTAGTCCCCAGATTCCCATGCACTAGCAGTTCATCAGACAAAGCTATAGTCAACGTCTTGTCCTCATCGTCTTGCTTATCTAGGTTAGGGATGTAAAATCCTGGTTAATCAGCTAAACATTAGGTTTAGCCATTTAACTAAGTGAGATCCAGACCTGGCTGCCATGGGTGAAGTAGCCCTCTGCCTGTGGCAGGCCGCAGCTGGGGGTCTGCTCCCAGGTAACTGGTTACCTGTTTCCAAACCTAATCTAGGTAGTATCTAGCTTGAATGCCTCACATAGAACACTTATTGCAAATGTCAGTTAAAAGAGCCAACATAATCGTTGCCATTTCCTCCAGTGCTTTTTCCAGCTTCCCATCACCAGTTTTGTCTGGATGGAGCCCTAAGATTTCAAGTGTTGCTCTCATCTATGTGCCAGTCTGATACTTTTTGAGGCAATTGGCTACATCTTTTAACTAACACAAAGTAGCACAAGAAAGAAGGCTGTATTCCATTCATTGAAAATACTGCATGTTAATTGCTAGGCAGATTATCTTACATTTCTCCCTCTGTTTACTGCTTCTCTAAAATAAACAGTATTTTGCCTTGATTGATTACTTGTCTTTTAATTAGTCTGTTTGGTTGACTTGATATTTTTTCCCTTTAATATTTTTCATAGTCAGCCTGAGAGATGTAAATTTGCCATTTTGCACCATAATAAATAAAACTTGTTTAAAGAGAAGCCACAGTTTCCTAAAGAAGTGTAGCTAATATAGAAATGCTTTTAAGTTCCTTTGAAGAAAATTAACTTTATTCATCCTTATGTTTTCTTCTTCCCCTGTTTCAGTATGCATTGCCACTCCAGCTGGTGAATAACCAGACCATGACTCAGTGGATGGAGATTTTCCGTGCCATCATCGATAGAAATGTGCCTGCTGTAAGGTTTATGTCCCTGGAGAGAGACTGACATTGATTTCTTTTGGATGAGAAAATGGGGATGTTCTGTGAGGAGAAATTATTGAGCTAATCTGTAATGATATCATCCAGGCAGGAGTCTCGCTCTCAGGATTAATGTCTCTGATACAAGTCATGCAGGCACCTCACTAGTTTGTAAGATTTTGACTGTTTGAGGTAGCTGTACAGTATATACTCCAACTCTGGGTATTTCAGAAACTCCCAAACATTTTAGTCAGTTTGTTTCAGAAACAGGAAGCAAAAGCTCTCCATGAACATATAGATGTCATGTCCACTCCATGGACATACAGGCTATGTCTAGACTGCAAGCCGCTTTCGAAAGAGAGCGTCTAGACTGCACGTTGAACTTTCGAAAAAGCGGCTTGCTTTTTCGAAAGAAAGCATCCAGTGAGTCTGGATGCTCTCTTTCGAAGAAGCCCTATTTACATTCAAGAACGCCTTCTTTCGAAAGAGGAACTTTCGAAAGAAGGCGTTCTTCCTCGTAAATTGAGGTTTACCGCCATCGAAAGAAAAGCTGCATTCTTTCGATTTAATTTCGAAAGAACGCGGCTGCAGTCTAGACGCAGGTGAGGTTTTTTCGAAAAAAGGCTACTTTTTTTTCGAAAAAACCCCTGAGTCTGGACACAGCCACAGTGTAAACACACTATCTGTTCTTGCCTCCACCCTCATAAAAGACTTAAATAATTCCAAAGGAACAGGTTTAAGAATAATGCCAACAGGATGAACCCATATAATTTAAACCCTCAAACTCTGAAAGAAGATGGGTGGGTGAGAGTCATTTTTCCAAGATATGTTCAGAGAAGCAGAATTGCTAGGTATGGTAATCTCCCTTTGGCAAAGATACCTTCTGAATAAAATTCTCATTAGTGGAGATAAAGTAGCTTTGAGGAAACTAGATAGTTTGATTTCAATAAACCCTGAGACAGACCTGCCGGTCTACGGACCAGTGGCAGGCCATGAACCCCAGCCTGCTGGGCTTTAGCACACTGCCAGGCCATGCCCCCAAATGCTAATGAGCCTGCCTGTTGGGGTTCCCCACGCAGCAGCAGGGTGAGTGGCCCAATTGACAACTGGGTGTGCTGAGGCTGCAGCCAGGGCCACAGTGAGGCTGTCCCTACTGGGGAAGCCTCACCGTGGCCCTGGTTCCAGCTCTGGAGGCCGTTACGCAGCCCGGCTGGTGGGGCCACGTGATGGGCAGCTGTAGCGCTCAGCCAGGGCCAAGCACTGAGTGGAGGCCAGCTGCTGTGCTGAGCGCCACAGCAGCCGGGCTCCATGCAGTGCTTGGCCCCAGCTGAGAGCTGCAGTCGTGCTCAGCAGGAGCCTGGCTGCCCCGGCGATCAGCTAGGGCCAAGCACCAAGTGGAACCTGGCTGCCGTGGCGCTCAGCAGAGACCCAGTATGCTGTAGACTCTGCACAGCCCTCCCACCATGCAGGAAGTGCAGTGTGCTTGACTGGGGGCTGGGTGGCAGAGCTAGGTGAGGGGAGCGGGGCAGGCATGTGGGGCTCGTGCTCAGCAGGAGCCTGGCTGCCCCGGCGATCAGCTAGGGCCAAGCACCAAGTGGAACCTGGCTGCCGTGGCGCTCAGCAGAGACCCAGTATGCTGTAGACTCTGCACAGCCCTCCCACCATGCAGGAAGTGCAGTGTGCTTGACTGGGGGCTGGGTGGCAGAGCTAGGTGAGGGGAGCGGGGCAGGCATGTGGGGCTCTGGGAATTGGGGGGCTCTAAGATGCGGGGGGAGCTGGCACTGGGGTGGGGCTAGTAGTGAGGGGACTAGGGGGCAGGGATGGCACTGGGGAGAGGGCTAATATTGGGGCTCGGGGCTGGTACAGGGGGAACAAAGGGATGAGGTGCAGTGGGGCTCTGGAAACAGGAGGCTGCAACTGAGGCATTTGAGGCTGGGGGGCTGGCACTAGAGTACTCTGAGGGTGAGAGGCTGGCACTGGGGTGGGAGGGGTTGGGTGCAGGGGACTGTAGGGTCAGTGGCTAGTATTGGGGGGTAGTGGAGGAGTAAGGGGCTCTAGTGGTTAGGGCTGGCACTGTGGCAGAAAGGGCTTTTTATACCAGGGACCAGTAAATCCACTTACAAACTTTTGGCATACAGGCAACATTTTATTTGCATATTTGAGTATTCATTATTTGCATAATGCATATGCAAACATGCAAATAAAACATTACCGGTCCGCCAAAAGTTTGTGAATGGGTTTGCCAGTCCCTGGTATAAAAAAGGTTGGGGACCACTGCATTGGGGGATCTGCGAGCAGGTTTCCAGGGATCTCCCCTGATAAACTAGAGAGCAGGGCCAACATTGGAGTTTTTGGGATGCCGGGCAGATAGCCTGAGCCCCACATGGAGGGCTAACGCTGCAGCCTGAGCATCAAAGCCTCAAGAGGGCCCGTGCTTCATTGGGCCTCCTGGCAGTTGCCCTTCTTGTTATCCTCTATTGCTGGTTTTAACTTTTAAGCTACTGGCTATGCAGAAGAACAGTTGTGGCCCAGGCGGGCCGTGGAATTTTTATAGCATGTTGGGGGCATCTGATAGCAGCGTTGTCAGCGTGCGAGATGGGGCTTGCCAGATCCAATACTCCCTACTGATAGATAGCAGCACTGCAGCCCATTTCTGCAGGAGAACGGAAATTCTGTGCACATCACACTAATTTCTGCAAAATTTGGCATTGCACAGTGGCACAGAATTCCCCCAGGAATAAATGTAGTGTGGCCATGTAGTCAATATACATGTATATGTAATGGAGTAACCTGAGCCCAGCAGTGATATGTAGTTCTGTAATCAGATTGCATTTCAGGAATGCACTTTTTGGCATTTGCAAACTTCTGAATGCATGCCTTTACAATCCTATTCTCTTTCCATCTTTTGTGTGAATGTATGGTATATGCATAGACGTGATTATTTTATATCAAATGAGAGAGGAAACATAAATACAGATTTTTAGATGGGTTACTTTCAATGTAATAATACATTTGGAGGATCACATTAAAAGAAAAAAAAATCCTATCACATTTTATTCTGGTAGCTATTGTATCTATTAATAAAATTGAAAGTTTGACATTTGTATCTGAATTTGCATTAATTCAGTCAATGGGTTTTTTTAATTTAATTTTTATATACTTTACCTGTTTTATTCATTTGTAGGAGACATTAGAGATTGATGAAGATGATAGACCAGAGCTGGTGTGGTGGAAATGTAAGAAGTGGGCATTACATATCGTAGCTCGTCTTTTTGAACGGTAATAAGTGATTAAAAACTAATATGGCATAAAAATGTCATTTTTTACTTAGCTATCTTTTGGGGATATTGTTATGCTTTTCCGATAAAACTGTTAAATACAACATCAGTTTTATCAATTATACGTTAATGGCTATTGGTCTGACCCTGAATGAAGATCTATTACAGGGGTGGGAAACCTTTTTGGGGTCAGGGCCTGCTGGCCCACAGAAAAATTAGTTGGGGGCTGCACATAAATGAGAAGCAAAAGAAGGAAAACGAAATCCTCACTGACGTGGCCCCTGAAAAGGAGAAAGGAGCTCCTCACATTTCCCCCTCACACTAGAGTCAAGGGGGGGCCCAGGCTAGTAGATTTTGTGTGTTCCAGCCCCACAGGAGAGCAGTGGGGACTTGGAGCACCAGCATGGGCTCCCCAATGCTAGCGGGGGAGTCCCAAGTCTCGGGGGCCAGATCCAGGCAAGCCAGGGACCACATCCAGCCCCTTCGATTCCCCACCCCGATCTGTTACCATGTGACAAACCAATAGCTCTAATTTGAGTTCCTCCTTTCCCAGGCTTCAGTAAAGTCAGATTTCACTTGCTAGCTTCCAGTAAAATTAATTCAGCTTTTCATCAGTGTGTCCTCCTGCCCATGCCTAAATCCAAAATATCAATGCATGGATTTAAAAAAAAAATGGAATCCATATATCCTGTGGCAAAAATGCAGCTTTAGTTATTGGCTACAATATTATGCTTTGTGCATAGTTAATTAAAATGGGGAAATGAATGACTGTGGAAAGAAATTATTCATTGTACATATCTCTTGTGAAAGAGGAGTTGTGCTTATGTGTCTTTTGTATGTTTGCAAGCTTAATCAATGAGGGTATGTCTACACTACCACCCTAGTTCGAACTAGGGTGGTTAATGTAGTCATATGAACTTGCAAATGAAGCCCAGGATTTGAATTTCCCGGGTTTCATTTGCATGTTGCTGGGCGCCGCCATTTTTAAATGCCGGCTAGTCTGAACTCCGTGCCCGTGGAACGAGGTGTACAGGTAGTTCGAAATAGGAAGCCTAATCCGAACTACCTAGTCCATGCCGCATGTAGCCGCAAGTTCGTATGACTACATTAACCACCCTAGTTTGAACTAGGGTGGTAGTGTAGACATACCCCGACTGTGTTGTCCTGTTAAACATAAAACTTTGCTTCAAAAGTATAAATATCTTGTTTTCTTTTTTTGTTTAAAGGTATGGAAGTCCTGGAAATGTAACAAAAGAATATTTTGAATTTTCAGAGTTCTTTTTAAAAACCTATGCTGTGGGAATCCAACAGGTAATCATGCTACATTTGTTTCTGAATTAGGATATGTTCTCAATATTAAAAGCACTGTGAAATGTAATTTCCTTTTTTGGTACAAAAAAAGTAGAGATTAAATATGTGTCAACTTGGCTAAAAAGCCCAGTAAAGAGAGGGCATGATAGTTCTATGTAAATATCAAAGGGCTAAACTTCAGAGGAGAAATGATTTTGGAGGTACAAGTGGTATAATTAGGAGTAATGGAAGAATCTGAAAGAGAAACTCTCCCATCACTTGAAATACTTTAAAATTTCAGCTGCCTAAAAGACTAGCATACCTGAAGAAATAATTTGCCTTCTATGGCAAATGGGTTAGATAAACTGCACAGGTCTCTTTCCATTTTTAGCTTTTATAAGTTAATGATTCACTATACTTCTCAGATGTATTGAGCGCTGTATGAAACTATTTAGCTAAGTAGTCATTACAGTAGACTTCCGATTATCCAGCACTTTTGGGACCTAGGTGGTGCCGGATTATTGGATATGCCAGAGTATTGGGAAGTACTCCGGCGGGGGGCTGACACGGGTCTGCCAGGACCCGCACTGCATCCGGGGGGTGGGCAGGGAACGGTGCGGCGAGGGGCAAACCCTCTGCCTTTTTGCAGGAAGGTAGGGGAAGCCCCGCGCAATCGCCGAGAGTTTCCGGGAAGGGAGCGGTCTCCCCAACTCCCAGACTGCAGTAGTTATCGCTGAGCAGGGAGATGAGGGGCGGCGCTGTGGGACCAACCCAGCAGCACCCCAGCTGCTCTGCTCCTTAATACAGTAAAACTCCAATTGTCCGGCGTCCAGTGATCTGGCACTCCTGATAGTTCAGCACCAACTGCAACCCGGAAGTGCTCCGGCCAGCCAGACAATTGGAGCTGCTTTGCCCCCGGCTTCTCCAAGTCCGCTGCTGCTCTGGGGGCAGAGGAGCTGGAGTGCTGCCCGGTTGGTCCAGCAGCACCGCCCCTCATCCCCCTGCTCGGCGATAACTACTGCAGTCTGAGGGGTGGGGAGCCTGCTCCCTTCCTGGAAACACTTGGCAGCTGCGTGGGGCTTCCCCCGCCTTCCTGCAAAATGGAGGAGGGTTCTCCCCTCGCCGCGCTGTTCCCCGCTCACCCCCTGGCCAGACGCAGTGCAGGTCCCAGCAGACCCGTCACAGGGGTATAATCCCCTTCCCCTCTTCTCCCTTGCCCTTTCCCAGCTGCGAGCGCCCAGGGGGCTCATAGCAGCTCCCATTGTCTGGCTGGCCGGTTCACTTCCGGGTTCCAGTTGTTGCTGGACTATCAGGAGTGCCAGACCACTGGATGCTGGACAATTGGATTTTTACTGTATATATTTATTGCTTGTTAAATGCTAACATTGTGTTAGTGCCTGTATGAGATACAGATAGTCCCTGGCCCAAGGAGTAGCTGGTAGAGAAGACAAATACAAGACCCAGCTTCTAAGAGCCCTAGAGGAAGGTATTTGTTTATAAAGTGTGCTACAATGTGTTTACTAGTCTACTATGAAGAATTATTAGTAAACAAAACTGCCTTTTTCAAAATAAATGACCATTCTGATTTGTATACCTGTCAGTTCTCCATCTTTAACTCATAATAGGAGCTACATGGGAAGGGAAGCTTCAGGCCCCCTGCAGAAGTGGTGCGGGAGATGGTGGAGGGAAGGAAGTACCTGGACCCTGGCAGAAGCTCGGAGGTGCCCTTAGTTGCAAAGAACATCATAATTTTGTAGGAACAGCCCTGCGCTGTGGGATCTGGGGGCCAGCACAGAAGAGGGGATAAAGAAACCCTGCCCAACACCAGCACAGGAACCTTACCCGTGGATGGTGGCCTGGCCAGCAACATGCAGAGACCCTCCCCTTGCCAGCCACTGTCTTACTGGTTCAGCCACCCCCCTGTGGTCACTGTGCAGCACAACTGTCCCTCCTAACAGCCCCCTCCCATTCTGTGTCGTGGAAAACAGTCCCATTCCAGGAACATCCTGTTTACCTGGCATAATCAAGCCCTGCCCTTACTTTAAGTTAGGATAAGAGGAAGCTGCATACCACATTTGGTGGCCCTTGCTCTTACCAGTTAGGAGGATTTTTTTTTAAAATGGACTCAGAGACAGACAGATGCACATTTCTAAAATATATAGCTAGATTTGTGACCTACTATAAATATTTTCTTGCTTGCTATAAAAAGAAACCTCCTATCTATAGAGGAATGCTGTAGAATGAAAGCTCCCAGTTGTTCCAGTGGATTGTTGTTCTGATCGAAGAGAATGAATGTGATCTAGTATTAATGGCAGCCAGCTGTTAGGACTTCTGCCCCTCTTCCCAACTTTGCCATAAACATGTTGCAACCTTCTATGATTCTATGATTCTTAGTAAAGTCACTTAGAGCTCAGTTTTTAAATATGGATTCCTCAAATTTTGGTATCTAAATTTTAGCCACCTAAATCCTATTTATAGCTTCAGGTTCTATTTGGCTACCGAAATTTGAACATACAGCCTGCCACAGTGCTTTCTGCTGGTCTATCTGAGAATTAGCTCTTCCAGCCCAGGGATGCTCTCTATTGGCTGGTGTCTCGTCCTCAGTTACTTGCCTCTTCTATTAGTGTCTCTGTCACTCATCAGGCCCCGTGTTCTTCTCAACCCACTGTGCCCCTGCTCTTGTGGTACTGCCCTGCAGCAGTACCCCCATACTCTGGGGTCCTCCCCGCCCAAGGAACCTTAACCCCCTATATCCACCTTGCCTCAGTGATCCTATCCCTTGCCTCAGAGGAAAACTGCAGTCTGAAATAGCCACTCATCATTGGCAAGAGCATGTGGACCTGCTGCCTTCTCCAGTCCTGGCTGCCTTCTTGCAGCTCTAGTATCCCCTAGGCTTGAAAGCAAGGCCTCAGCCTGGGAATTCGCCTGGCCAGAACTCCCCAGCACTTCTCTGTCTCAGGTACCCTCTCTAGCTTCCAGGACAGCCAGGTCCTTCCTGCTCCACATATAGACTGTAATGGGTTGTGATTCACTGCCACAGTGCCTTCATGCCTGGCACTGTGGAAGAGTGAGCTCCTCATCTCCAGGATCCCTTCTCAAGGGCCTTGCCAGGCTCTGATTGGCTCTATCTAGCCCTCTTCTTATTTGGTCTCAGCCCCAGCCTTCACTTAGGGCTGCTGTAACCCTTTATGAACCAGTGTGCGGCAAGCACCCCATCATATAGCTTTTAACATCTGTTCCTTACTTTTCCCCATCTGTAGAAATGAAGAAAGAACTTACTTCACTGAGTTCCAAGGCTTTTTGAGGCCCCAATCCTGCAAACATTTATGAATATGTTGAATTTTGTTATTGTTAGTAATTCTATCATGGGAGAATTCCTGGTAACAAATATTTGAAGGCTCAGAACTTCAGTGCTTAAATTATTATTAATGTTTGGATGAAAGGCATTATAGAAGGAATTAATACTTGAGCTTCTACTTAAAATGAAATTGACCTGTCAATGTCTTTACTATAAAAAGGTGACATTATATTTTAAAATCTTCACACTTCATTAAGAAAATAAATTTATTATTCCCTTAGGTTCTCTTAAAAATCTTGGACCAGTACAGGCAAAAAGAATATATTGCTCCTCGTGTCCTTCAGCAAATCTTAAACTATCTGAACCAAGGGGTCAGTCATTCTGTAACATGGAAGCAGATGAAACCACACATACAGGTCAGTGCAAGAACACAGTTACAAACATTTAAATAACATTATTACCATGAACTGAAGTTGAGATTTTGACTGGTATAAAGAGTCTTGCAGACTCTTTCTCACAGCAGTCAATCTGGAAAATACTTGCACAGAGATATACTTACTCTGTTACTTCACTGGTCTGTTTACCGTTTGCCTTTATTGCAGATATTTGCATTTGAATAAGAGCTTTCCCCTTCTGAGAATAGATTTTTATTTTGCTTTTATCCTACAATGAAGTTATAATCTTATGCTTTGATTACTCATTTTTTTGCCTTTGGGTAGGATTCCTAGAAAGATGCTGGAACAAATTATTAAACAATCCATTTGTAAGCACTTTGGGGATGACAGGGTTATAAGGAATAGCCAGCATGGATTTGAAATCATGCCAAACTAACCTAATTTCCATTTTTGACAGGGTTACTGACTTAGTGGATGTGGGGGTGGGGAAGCTGTAAAAGTATATCTCTTGCTTTTAATAAGACTTTCTACACAATCCCACATGACTGTCTCATAAGCAAACTAGGGAAATGGAGTCCAGATGAAATTACTGTAAGTGGAGGCACAGCTGGTTGAAAACCCATACTCAGAGAGTAGTTATCAATGGTTCTCAGTCAAATTGAGAGGGTGTGTCTAGGGGGGCGCCTGCAAAGTCAGTACAGTATTAGTCAATATTTTAATTAATTACTTGGATAACAGAATGGACAGCATGCTTATCAAATGTGCAAATGACATCAAGCTGGCATGAGTTGGAAGCATACTGTAGGACAGGATTAGAATTCAACAAGATCTTGAAAAATTTGAGAATTGGTCTGAAATCAATAGGCCACAATTCAAATAGAGCAGTGCAACATATTTCACTTAGGAAGGAAGACTCAAATAGACAGCTACAAAATGGAGAATAAGGTGGTAGTACTGCTGAAAAGGACCTGGAGATTATAATGGATCACAAATTGAATATGAGCCTAAAATGGGATGCAGCTGTGAAAAAAAGCTAGTATCCTTCTCAAGTGTATTGACAGGAGTATTGTATGTAAGATACGGGGGGGTGATTTTCCCAGTTGGCACAGGTGAGGCCTCAGCTGGAATATTATATTCAGTTTTAGGCACCACACTTCAGGAAGGATGGGAATAAATTGGAAGGAGTCCAGAGAAGGGCAACAAAAATGATAAAATTGTAAAAAGCCTGAAGCAGAAGGAAAGGTTAAAACACGTGGGCATATTTAGTCTTGAGTAAAGACGACTGAGAAGAAGCCCAAGAACAGTTTTTAAAATATGTTATAAACAGGATGGTTGCAATTGTTCATGCCCACTGAAGGTAGGGTAAGAAGCAATTAACTTAATCCACAGCAAAGGAGATTTAGGTTATACATTAGAAAAATTTTGCAATTATAAGTGTACTTAAACTTTGGAATAGGCTTTGAAGAATCCCTAACATTGGAGGTTTTTAAGAACAGCTTACACAAACATCTGCCAGGGATGGCCTAGATTTACTTCGTCCTGCTTCAGCGAATGGGGCAAGGCTTGATGACATCTCGAGATCTCTCCCGGTCTTATATTCTATGATTGTATTATTGTAAATATACATATTCAACATTGACTGCACTATAAGGTAAAGAAAGGGAAGACAAACTGTAAGGAAATGATCACTTGTTTAACCACTTCATTTGTAATTGTAACATGTGGGAGCAACTACAGAAAAATGATTTTCATCTCCGTATTTTGTTTTCCTATCATAAAGTCCCCAGGTGTAATTAGCTTATCAGAAAAGAAATCCCATAAGTATTAGGAGGGGAAAATAAAATATCTACTCTTATTTTAGTGCCACATTGTGAAATCCTCACACGGAATATGTTCTGCTGCTATTAGATTATGCCCTATGCTATATTCTTTGGGTTGTACTATAGCATGATGGAGTAAAACTTACTGCTGAGCCCATTAAAAATGCAATGTGTATATCATAAGACTATCCCAGTGAGAAAAATAATTTAAGATAACTAACCTTATTTATTACAAAAAGGTACAATATAGTGGTGGGGAGAAGCTATACTTGAAATACGTTTCGTGCGTTTGAACATATTTGATTTCTCTGCTCTTAGAGTATATCTGAAGAAGTGATTTTCTCCCTAATGTGTTATAAAGATGAGGATGAAGAGCTGTGGCAAGAAGATCCATATGAGTACATTCGCATGAAATTTGGTAAATGTGTGCTCCCTGTCTTTGCCATAATTGTGCACTGTAGGTTCCTCTAGTTACAATACTGTATTCACCACTGTGCCAAAACATGAGCCAGAAAGCCACTGGCAGCCAGCCCTCCACCGCTCCCCAGGAGCAGTCTGAAAGCTCCCAGGAGCCTGACAGGGGCTGGAGAAGGCGGGTGCCTTCCTGGTCCAGGGTGGAGATCATGGACCTTATTCAGGTTTGGGGGGTGATGCCCTTAACGTCCACGATCTCCGCATTAGACGGAGGAACGCGGCCGTCTATGGTAGGATAGCTTCCAGTCTAGCCACCAAAGGCCACATGCGAACCTAGGAGCAGGTTTGCATGAAAGTCAAGTTGGTCCGGCGAGACCCTGAGCCCTGAGCTTCCCCTCCCCCTTCTTCCTCTTGCTTCCCCCTTCCAGCTCCCTCCTTCCAGGTTTCCCCCTCCCCTCTTCCACCCTCTCTCTTCCCCTCTCCCACCTCCGTTTCCTACTCTCCCCACAGGCTCATCCCTCCCCCTTCCCCAGTTTTGTTCAATAAACCCAGTTTCCATTTTTGAGCACACATGCCTTTTATTTGACATCAGGAAGGGGGACTAAGGAGGGGTAAGTGGAAGGACGTAAGGAAGGAATGGGGTACGAGCCCCCGGTGGGGAGGACCGGGGAGGCTCTGAGGGCTCCTCGGGGTGGACGCTCTCCCTCAGGGCCTCCTGGATCCTGACAGCCCCTCAATGGGCCCCCCCGGATGGCAGCCTGCAGCAAGTGCAGCCGGTCTGATGGCAACAACCCCACGAGACGCACCGGCGTGCCCAGGGGCCGCTCTGGTTTCATGTGGCCGAGTGCTGTGGTGTCCCGAGTTCAGGAAGTCCAGGCATTCCAAGCCAGGACTGCTTTGCTGTCCTTCATCGAGGTAGACAAAGCGGGGAACCCTGAGAACTGTCTGTCCGGGGTGGGGGTAGGGTCCCTTTAAGCACAGAGCTCAGTTAGCCTCAGGCATTAGCCCCACACACTAAGTCCTAACCTGATGCCCTGCCGGCACTGGTTCCGGCCAGCCTTAACTTCGGTTCAGGGTCCACTCAGTGTGGACGTGCTATTTCAAAATAGCAAAACGCTATTTCAAAATAGTTTTTGTGTATAGATGTGTTATTTTGAATTAAGTTAATTCGAAATAGTGCTGTAGTGTAGACATACCCTTAGATACAACAGAAAAAAATAAATCTCCTAAAAAGAGAATGATTGGTATTTGGCAGTTGACAAACACTAGTCACAGGTGATCAAAACTCAGTTATCATAATCCAGAGGATGAACAGTACCATGAATAAATGTAATGTTCTTTTGTCACCCTGGTTCTGTGACATCCATCCAAAGCTCTTACTCTACAGTATATTTCAAAGCTATCTGTGAGAATTTTATTATTAAATTGTACTCAGTGACTGAAAACACTTTCTTTAAACATTGTTAGATGTGTTTGAAGATTATGCTTCCCCTACAACAGCAGCCCAGAATCTCCTCTACACCGCAGCAAAGAAGCGAAAAGAGGTACTGAATTATTCTTTAAAAAAAAAATATTTCATTAGAAGTGCATCTGTCTATCTCAAATGGTTCTATATTATTCTTAGACCTTTAAGAATTTACCTTGCACTGGATGAATACTGTCAATTTTGTAATCAAAATTTCAATTTCTATTTTATATTAAGTTTCTAGTGATTATGGTTGCAAAGATTAACCTTCCAGATGTGAACCATGTGTCATCAGATGCAGTAATGTCTTCCCAAGTCTGCAGACAGACAACCCAAAAGTCTCTGAGGCCCAGAGCTGCTTAAGCCTTAGCAAAGGGAGAAGAAGGGGGTCTGATTCACATTAGTTTTCACTGTTGCTATTTAGAATCCTGTAGGCAGCTGTTGAACTGATGAGAATCAAGTTGGTTTCTGTCTGCTGTTTCTTTGGAAAGTTCTGGTTGGTGCAGAAGAAAAAGGCGTGAGAACTGCTCACTGGGAAGGAAAACCCTAAAAAATAGGAGAGAACGGTTTGGGGGAACAAAAGAGAATACTACTTTGTTCCAGCAGCCAAAACTGTGGGATTTAAATGTAGTATTTACATACCAACCAGAGTTAAGTATGTCAGGCCATCCTTGCTCATAGAATAGCACCTTGGTATCAATCCCAACATCATCCCCTTTCCCAATAATTGTTGGGGGGAGGTTCATTTCTCACCTGAATGTTGCCTCTGAGCTGCAGTCATGTCCCCCTACTTTCGTACCAGTCTTTGGCTAACGGTTTAGTATTTTGGCTATGATGTATGTGGTAATTTTCTCAACACTTTGTGAATGAGGTGGTAACAGGAAATGAGGGATGGCTAGAACATATATTAGAAAAAATGCAGTATTGAGAAAGTTGGTGGAAGATCTAACAATTCAAAAAAAAGAAGGTAGGGAACACAGTATATGAAAAAAGACACTGAAGACTGCCAAGAAAGGATAGACTGTGAAATGTTATTAGGGGGTGAAGGGGGAAGAGATGGAAAAATGACATGGAACCTGAAAAGGATAGATGGTACGAGGAAAGGAAAAGAGACTGAATAAGTTGCATTTTAAAGTGTATTAAATTGTTTGGCAGTGAATATTAACTGTAGTGCATGATAAACAGTATATGACTATTTATATTCCCTTAAATGGCAATTGTTATAGTTTTGTGTGGTGTAACAGGACAAGTATTTTCCACTCTGAGTAAGTACCTTGGTCTTTCAGGCTGATTGGTGAATAAGTAAATTTTTCAAGCTCTGATTATCTTTCTAGAGCAGTTGGATGGAAATAGATATGAACTTTTCCTTTGCTTAAAACTCAGATCACTTAAAATCTACTTATATAGTCTATGATCTTTCCTCTCACCTGCCCCAACATGGTTCCTTGCCTGCCACCATACCCACTTTAACAATCTGCATTAGAGTCTTTATTTTATAGGTCCTTGAAGCATATAATGTATGTGAAACCATATTAACTAAATGATTCAGCCAAGAGACCTTTCCAAATCTTGTCAAGACCAATAGATTTGCTTTAATCTGGAGTTTTTAGGTCTTGCTGTTCTGGAATTTACATAGAATGAGTCAGAAAAGAAGGAAAACATTTACTAAGTGAGATTACTGCCTGGTTTGAACTCGTGTATCTCCAGATCCCATTTTCTAATTTTACTTTTAAGTTTAAAAAAAATTGTACCTCACTTAAGAATAATTTGAAATTTTAGGCAGATGCATCTATTTTTTGACAATTTTTGAGACTGTGATTAAAAAAAAGCTTATGATAGGGCTTTCCATGTTAACTAAAAAAAGATTTTCATGTTCCCATTATACATATTATGGGCAATGTGAGTTAGTTCACATTGATACTATACAGAAGCCTTAAGTTCCTGAATTTCCAAACTTTAAAATAAAGATGCTAATGAACCATTATATTAAATCTGTTTAATGACACCGCATACAGCTTATCCTACACTTTCTCTTTGTGCCTTACTATGTATAGGTATTACCGAAGATGATGGCATTTTGCTATCAAATCCTCACAGAACCAAACATTGACCCCAGGAAGAAAGATGGAGCATTGCATGTGATGGGTTCTCTAGCAGATATTTTATTGAAGGTAAATGGATGAGGGCCTACAAGTTGGTTATGATCAGAATCTTTTATCAACTTGCCTCTCTAATTTAAAACATTAGCTTAAACATGATGAACTCTGAATCATGCTTATGAAGTACATGAAATGATTTTTGCTGTAAAATACCAATTTGAAGGGGTTTTCATTAAAATTACTTCAACCACTTCGTTCTCTTCCCGTTGTAACAGTCCTGTCAGCCATTTCTCTCAGACTACCTGCCCTGTTACAAAACAGTTCCTTGTGCTGTCCTGCTTTACTGATGAAATGGAACCATGTTACAAAATATGTTCCAGCAACAATTGGAGTCTTGGACACAGGGATTGCCATGACATCTGTTCATAGCAAAAGTAGCTTCTGGTCTTGTAGGCTTCTTCTGGTCCTGAAGATAGTGGTTAAAGTGTTCCAACGATATGTTGTCTAGCCTCCTGTGTGTGCCTCCTGCTCCTATGTCAAACTGCCATTTAGAAATTATTTTGCATATTAATGTAGTAGAAATAATTTATATGAAGACAGAGAATGGTTTTATTAGTCTGCCATTAGACAGTAAAAGAGGGTTACTAATAATACAGTGTATCCAAATATAAAGATGTCTATAACTTAATTTTTGTTTGCTTCAACAGAAGAGTGTATTCAAGGATCAGATGGAGCTGATGCTACAGAATCACGTATTTCCATTGTTCATGTCTAACTTGGGGTATCTCAGAGCTAGAGTAAGTTTACTGAAGTTTATAGAGTGCAATATTTGTCTGATTAGTTTCTTTATGGGGTTTTCACGCTGAATAGCAGGCTGAAATGTAGCAGTTCCCACATGTGCCACAAACAATTATTTATTTCTCAGCAATTGCATTGTACAGAAACTTTTTCAGCATTTCGATCTGAAATGATATGCAAGTAAAAATGTATAGATGTTTGAAATTCTAGGTGATCCATGTCTCCATATCTCACATGGCTCCCTTTTAGCATACTGTTTTGATCTAATTGGAAAACTTGAGCATTAGATAAATGGTAACCTGTCACAGTCCTTGTAAGATTGTATCCAGTTTTGGGCACAATACTCTTAAGAACGATGTGGATAAAATGGAAAAGTCCCAGGAGAGAGCAAAAATAAATAAATAATCTAGAAAACCTATATTAAAAAACCTGCTTAATCTTGAGAATAGAAGTGTAAGGGAGGACCCAATAAGTCCTAAAATATATTGAGGGCTGTTATAAAGACCAGTTGTTCTCCATGTCTCTGAAGGTAGGACAAGAAACAATTGGCTTAATCTGCAGCAAGGGAAATGTAGGTTAGCTAGTAGGAAAATCTTTCAAAGTATAAGGATAGTTAAGAACTGGAATAGGTAACCAAGTGAAGTTATGGAATTTCCCTCTTTGGCAGCTTCTAAGAATACGGTAGGCATGCCTGTTAGAGATGGTCTAGGCATACACGATCCTATCTTAGTACAGGATCATGGACTAGATGATCTCTTGAGGTTCTTTAAGCCCTACTTTTATATGGGTATTTAATTATTTGGTAGCAAATCTCAATAGTTTGAGCTAAAGCCAAATCAAATTTTCATAGAACAGTTAATGCCAGTTTGAGGATGATCTGGGTTTAATCTCCAAACTTTTCCCTGCTGTGCCCACATCAGTCAGTAATGAAATATTAATTTTCCTGCTAAGTGAGCATCTTTTTAAAAATAAATCCCAATCTCGCTTGTTCCTGACCTGTTAGAAGCTTAATACAACAATTTCAGTTATATATTGACTCTATAAATGTTTGAAACCTCCAGAGTATGTAGTCCACATGTATATTCTGTAAATGTTCAAATAAAAATGCATAAATTTAAAATAGATTAAGAACTGTTAGCATATAACTGAAATTCTTTAAAGAATGTTATAACTGCGGTAGCGCGTGACTCTCTTTCTTCTTGTACGACAGTCCTGTTGGGTTCTTCATTCATTCAGCACTTTGAAATTCCACAATGAACTCAACCTAAGGAATGCAGTAGAGCTGACAAAGAAGAGCTTGATTGATGATAAGGAAATGCCTGTTAAAGTAGAAGCTGCCATAGCTCTTCAGGCATTAATAAGCAATCAGGAGCAAGGTATGCGGCAATGGTTCATAGAGGTATATACTGATTATTTTCCCTGCCTAGATGATATATTGCTATAATTTTGCTGCAGGTGTATATAAACAGTTGTTGAATTTAGAGAGAGATCTCTGGAACACTTAATCAAATCTAGACAAGTTCATTTGCTTATTAGCTACAGTGTACATCATGGAACATTTGGTTACAGATTTTTCTGACAAATTTCTGAACAAAAGAAAACTCAATCAGCATAATTCAGTTAACAAACTGAATGGTATCTTTTAACATTGAATTGAAATAGTGGGCATGTTTAGGACCAGATACTAGATGTGCATGTCTCTCTTAGAAGTACATCATTTCTGTGGACATAATTCTAAGTGGTGTGGATGTATAATTATATAAATTACATAATATGCTTTTATCTAAAAAGTACAGTTTTAGACTGACTCAACTTTTACTTGAAATGAATAGTTGTGTTTTTTCTTGGGAGAACAGGAAGGGCCCTAAGAACTAAGACTGATTGTATATTTGTTTTTGTGGAAAGTTGACTTTTTCTAATTTGGTTTTGTTGTCATATTAGCAAAGGAATATGTGAAGCCATATGTCAGGCCTGTTATGCAGGAGCTGTTACACATCGTTAGAGAGACAGAAAATGATGATCTTACTAATGTGATCCAAAAGATGATCTGTGAATACAATCAGGAAGTAGCTACCATCGCTGTTGACATGACGCAACACCTGGTAAGAGACAGTAGAACAATACTGTAGTCACAGTCATAGACCTCAGGGTATGTCTAGACTGCAAGCTTCTTTTAAAAGAAGCTTTTTCGAAAGAGCTCTTTCCAAAACGTTTCTTTTGAAAGAGAGCATCTGCTCCAAGACCAGATTGAAAAAGCGATCTGCTTTTTCAAAAGAGAGTGTCTGGACTGCATGTATGCTCTCTCGAAAGAAAGCATTGATTGCTAATCACAAAATGGCCACCAGGGCACTTGTGCTTTGATCGATTGCCTCTTCTTTTGAAAAATGTCCCTGTTCTGTGTCCACACACGCCTTTTTTTGAAAGAGCTCTTTCGAAAAAGGTGTTCTTCCTCGTAATTTGAGGTTTACCAATGTCAAAAAAACCTCTGTGATCTTTTGATTAAATTTCGAAAGAATGCAATTGCAGTGTGGGCGCAGGTGAAGTTTTTTTTAAAAAGTGCAGTTTTTTTTAAAAACAATGTAGTCTAGACATACCCTCACTCATTAAATACAGTTTCAAGCTTGTTTGAAATGCACATTTTTAAAGGGATGCTAACTTTAAAATATTTTTTTAAATTCCCTCCAATTTTGCTTACAGCCCCTTTGATTATTTGAAATAAAGAATCTTTAAAATCTGATGTGCTTTTCACTGTATATTCTGTGTCCTTTTAGATTTCATCTTGGATGATGAAAATAGATGAGTCATCTAGATTTTCAGTTCTGGTCTGTTTTGCCCTCTGCCTATTCATGCAGTAGAATGATGGCGTCAAATTCTGGTCTGCATATACGACATGTGTTAGCGTCAACATAAGCTGTTTTCATTGATGGTTTTTAAAAACATTTAACTGAAACAGATACAAACCTTCCACCCAGCCCCCACAAATGTAAATGTGGAGGGTTAAGCTACCTGACAGTTTTCCTTCAAAAAGTTAAACCTTAATCCTTAAAATTACAATAGTTTTGTTTATTTTGATAGTGAGGATGTTAAAACGATTAAATGGTTAAATGATGGCACTTAACCAGTTAACCGTTTTAACATAGGTTCCTCTGCTGAGCCTTGCTGTAAGAGTGGTGTCCTGCCACTGGCCCTCCCATGGCCATGTGGCCTTGCCACACCTGAGGTTCTGCCTGCCAGCTAGCTAGCCAAAGGCTGCTGGTACTGCTCAGGCCAGCAAAGCTGGCCACCACCAGACTTAACTGGCATGGGTCAGTTAACTGGTAAGCATACAAGTAAGTCTCATGCTTAAGTATGCTTAAGTCTCCTACTAGTAAGTATGCTAACCAGTTAACATCCCTATAATAATTCGAAGACACTGCAGCCACTTTATTATTGGTCAAAAGGCAACACCTCATTTCCTACAAAGCAAATTGGAACATGAGTTCCCTTTAGAATAGTGGTGGGGAACCTCAGGTCCTGGGGCCGGATGCAGCCCCTGGCTTACTTGGATATAGCCCCTGTGGCTCGGGGCTCCTTCCAACATTGAGGAACCCACACTGGCACTCCAGCTGCCCCGCTGGCACACCACAGGGCTGGAGTATACAAAATCTACTAGCCTGGGCCCTCCTAGGTTCTGGTGTGCAAGAGGAGGAACCTTTCTCAGTCGAGGGTTTGGTTTTATGTGAGGTATTGGGTTGGGTTTCTTTTCTTCTCACTTGTATGCAGCCCCCAACTGATTTTCTGTGGGGCCAGCAGCTCCTGACCCCAAAAAGGTTCCCTACCCCGGCATAAAGCTTTGAAAATCCTCAGAGATGGACAAAAAGTGTAAGGCTGAGATATTTGGGAAAGTTCTTCAGAGTGAAGAATATGAGGAAATGGAGGACAAAACAGTGATGGCCATGGGAATCTTACACACTATTGACACTATTCTAACAGTTGTGGAAGATCACAAAGAGGTGAGATTACTCTGTTACACATCTTGTCATCTCTCCTTTTATTCATTGCAACATGCAATTTTATTGTATATTAAATTGCTTGAGTTGAAAAGAGCAAGTTATTGTTATGTAGTTTGATGTATTAGGATGAACTGATCCTTCTTAGTAAATGTGAATTTAAAGCTCAATGTAAAATGCTACTTTTCAGTTGTACAATATTTATTTTTAAGAGAGAACTGACATTTCTGAAGAAATAACTCTTTAGCAGGTACTACAGCAAATATTACTAGAAATATCTTTCAGTCTGCTACAAAATATGTTTTAAACTAAATTCTGAGAACATTTGTTATGATTCACAGTAACTGCAATATGATAACTATTGGTTATGGCAACTTAACATTTTTGATGTTTAACTCAGCAGTTCCCTGGATGGAATTGTGGATATTGAGCAATGTATAATTGTATTGCAGGATGAGTTGTAGGCTTTGTATATTCATGAGATATCTACAGGAGGAACAATTTTTTCTAATTTCATTACTAGGTAAATCTCATCATAAGGTTTTTTTCTGATTTTACAGCTGCGTTAATTGAGGTACAAAGAAGGTCAATTGACTTGTTCAATGTCACACGATCATTGGGTAGCTCTGAGCTCAGCTGGTATTACAGAATAAAGATGCATTGTCCTAGATCAGTAGTTTTCAAAGTGGGTACGCATACTCGCTAGGGATGTGCAAGAAAAATCCTGAAATGGCAGACCATTCATTTCATTTTGTACAGAGGATTTCAAACTGTGTGCCATGTTAAAGGGCGTAGAGGAACATTGGTGGGGGCAGCTCTGCACAGTGAGGCTCGGGTGTAGAGCACCACTTCCACCCTTGACTTGCTTACAGCAGAACTTGGGGAGGGAATGCTGCCTTCTCCTCGGGCCCAACCTTCCCCCTCCCCCCCCTTTGAATGACAAGTTTTGGAATGTGCGTCAAGGCGTGGAGAAACCATTCCCTTCCCCAGTGCCACCCAACAGGACTTTCCCCCAAACATTCCTCCTCAGGGTGGGGTTTTTTGAACATTTGAAAACATGTGTGCCTCTCACCACTTGTCACTTCTGACTATCTGAGATGGGTGTGCCATAGACTCTTTAGAAAGGAGTACACAGCCTAAAAAGTTGGGAAAATCAGTGTTCTAAATCATTCTGCCTCCTTGATTTTTACAAGTTCTCATCACAATGCTGAAGTAAACCTATTTTTGAGACATCACTTTTAATAACAATCATCTTACAAAAAATATCTGCAAAGATTTTCTTGGTGGCCACCCTGTTGTGTCTAAGATTTCAAAGTATCTGATTTTGCATAAAATATCTTTTCCCATCTTTTAAGAAATAGATTGGAAGCTAGGAACTAAAATTAGCTTTAGCACTGGTAGCCTGCAATATTGTTCTCTTGGGGTTTGTCCAGCTTTTAGTCTAGTGGCCATCTGTGTCTTTTTGTGGTAATTTAGCTGCTCACTGTTGTATAGTATTCAGTGTAAGATAATGCTTAACACAGGATCAGGATCTTTTAGCCATAAATGAACAGCACAATTTACTGCCTTTTTATGGAAATAGGCTGTGGTGAAGATTTAAAAAAGAACCTACAATTAGACTCTGAAATCTGTGTATTTAGGCATGTAAAGAAGTGGCTGTTCTTTCAAAAGCACAAAGTGTACCATGGGACTACTTGTGCTTAAAGCTGAGCATATGCTCAAGAGCTTTATTAGGCTGGGGGCCAGAGTGCTCCACTCCTTGCAGGAGTGAGCCCTTAATCAATGTTACCGTTAATAAACTTAAATGTCTGTGTTTGTTGGTTTTATGTGACTTCTAATGTGGACCTACACTTCTCTTGTGACTCTCAGACAATTTTCACTCCTAAATACAATCTCCCAGGCCAACAACAATAAAAGAGTTAATCATAGTAAAACCTGCTCATTTCAGCAAACGACACCCTTTTCTACAACCCAAGTTCAATCATATACTGTCTTCTGGGACATTCTGTAGAGGGAAAAGACAGGAACATCTTTTTCTTTTCTTTTTATTCTCACATCACTTCTTTTCTTTCCTCCTAAACCCTATGTAGTTTGTGTGTAGAGATCTCTCCTCAGATCCTTTGGATGCAGCAGTTGGAGCAAGTGGGCGCTCTTCCAGTGTGATGGAGCTTTCAGTTAGCGTATGGGTAGCAACCGTTAGTTAGGAAGTAGTAAAATGATGCTCAATCTTACATGAACATTTGTAAGGAGGATATTGGGGAAACTAATTTTTAAAATAGTGATTGAAATGTAGCCGTGTTAGTCTGGTGTAGCTGAAACAAAAGACAGGACTATGTAGCTCTTTAAAGACTAACAAGATGGTTTATTAGGTGATGAGCTTTTGTGGGCCAGACCAACTTTTTTGATCTGAGGAAGTGGGTCTGGCCCACGAAAGCTCATCACCTATAGCTACATAGTCCTGTTTTTAATTTTTAAAATAGCTGAGTACTTATCACTGATTGTGTCCCTGTAATAGTCTAATTGAAAGCATTTAAACCAGGATGGAAACTCTCTTTTCCTTGAAAGAACTGCTTACCTAAACTAACATAGTTAATAGTGATAGAAATGTAGCCGTGTTAGTCTGGTGTAGCTGAAACGAAAAACAGGACTATGTAGCACTTTAAAGAGTAACAAGATGGTTTAATGAGCTTTCGTGGGCCAGACCCACTTCCTCAGATCAAATAGTGGAAGAAAATTGTCACAACCATATATACCAAAGGATACAATTAAAAAAATGAACACACATGAAAGGACAAATCAAATTTCAGAACAGAAGGGGGTGGGGGGGGGAGAAGGTAAATGTGTCCTTTCTGGTTAAAATGGCAAGAAACTGTTTTCTCTTTGTGATCTTGTCTGATATCTGTTTTGTGGGCATTAATCCTTTGGCGAAGTGTCTGAGATGTTTGTCCAATGTACATAGCAGACGGACACTTTCGGCACATGATAGCATAAATTATATTTCTGGATGCGCAGGAATATGTGTTCTTGATCTTATAACTCACTTGGTTAGGTCCAATTATGGTATCAGCAGAGTGAATATGTGGTTCAGCTTTGTGAATATGTGGTTCACCCTCAGAACTGTCATTCATGCTTAAACTTGACACTTCTGTTCTGAAATTTGATTTGTCCTTTTCATATGTGTTCATTTTTTTAATTGTATCCTTTGGTATATATGGTTGTGACAATTTTCTTCCACTATTTGATCTGAGGAAGTGGGTCTGGCCCACGAAAGCTCATTAAACCATCTTGTTAGTCTTTAAAGTGCTACATAGTCCTGTTTTTTGTTTTATTATAGTTAATGGAATGAATCAAGTTACTCTGATTTGTAACTTTTTAAATAAAGTGTCTTATTTTTATTTCAGATAACTCAACAGTTGGAGAGCATTTGTTTACAGATCATTGGCCTCGTTTTGCAGAAACACGTAATAGGTATATGCAGAAGCTGACATTTTAAAGTATCCAGTTTATTTTATGTGGCAGAAAAAGGTTACTAATGCAATAATTTTAAATTTTATAGAGCAAATATTATTTTTTTAAATAAAGTGTCTTATTTTTATTTCAGATAACTCAACAGTTGGAGAGCATTTGTTTACAGATCATTGGCCTCGTTTTGCAGAAACACGTAATAGGTATATGCAGAAGCTGACATTTTAAAGTATCCAGTTTATTTTATGTGGCAGAAAAAGGTTACTAATGCAATAATTTTAAATTTTATAGAGCAAATATTATTATCTTCC